ACATTTTCTTGCGATACGTTCGGAGCATGCAACGAGTCACGCCAATATCTGAGTCACTCGCGTCAAGACATCAAAACGTACGACCAAGTATACAAGGAGTAGATTAGGCAAGCTATAATCAAGCCACTCGGATAAAGGCTCTAAAGTCTTTCGTAAGAATGTACATGCTTCTTCCAAGGAATACCGGCATGTGTTGGATATCCTACAGTTTTGCGCATCGATTCTGAACGCATGTCTGCATGCACCATTTGGTCGCAAGCGTTCACACCTCATCTCAGTATCGCCCGCCTCGTCCGTTACCCCTCCAGCCTCCCCTGTTACCGTTGTTGCCACCGCGCTGCCCACCTCCATAGCCGCGTCCACCTTGGTATCCGCCACGGCTCTGACCATACTGGCCATTGTTGCCGGGACCGAAGTTGTTACCATACTGATTGCCGCCCTGATTTCCAAATTGGTGTCCGCCCCGGTTTCCACCCTGGCCTCCGTGATGGTTGGCAAATTGGTTGCCTTGTTGCGGACCGTTCGGTGGCATGTTCATGTTGGGAGGTGGAGGCTGCCACATGCCATTGAAGTTGGGGGGCGGAGGAGGGGGAACGAAGCCACCACGTCCTTGGAACTGCGGTGGGGGTGGAGGAGGAACACCGAATGGCGGCATTGGCATCGGGAACTGGCCTTGGAACTGGCCTGACATGTGCGGTGGTGGAAACGGTGGCGCGTTGAAAGGCGGCTGATGCAGCATGGGCGGGACCTGGTGCTGATGGTTGTTGGGACTGGACTGGGTGTTCCTGTTCGCACCACTCCACTGTGATCCAGGCTGAGATCCTTCTCTGTCGTATGCCCTTGATGACGGTCGCGCCTCGACGAAACCTCTGCCCTCAGACTCTCGGCGCGAAGGTCCATGTGGTGATACCCTGCGGCGACCCATGGATCCGTCGGGCGACATTCGACGGCGTGCGTCGTCATACTGATAACCCCCAGGGCTACGGCGACTGCGACTGCGACTGCGACTGCGGCTACGATTGTATCCCCTTCTTCGTTCCCTATAGGGTGGGCCCGACTCTGTCGACGAGGAGGTAGAGGGTCGACTATCGTGGCCAACGCGACGCGCGACAGACAAGACCGGTGGGTCCTCCATGTCCTCCATGCGTTCGATGTCCTCTCGCGCGATCTTGATCGTCTCCGGGACGGTGAACTTCTGTATGTCTTGACAGAACTTTGGCGACCAGCCGTAGCCGTTTGCCACTGTAGCTGTCTCGCCAGTCTCCTTGTCCTGCTTAACCAGCTGGCCCATAGGATCCAACGAAAGCCTATATTTGGTTGTTTCCCCGGTCGGATTATCGCCCGTTGGCAGGTACTTTAGGTCGATGTTTTCGAAGAAGTTATCGAGGAGGCTGCGAACGTGCGAACTGACAGGCTTCTTGTCAAACTTCCGTATCTTGATTTGAGATTCGTGGATCGGGCGGTTCGGGTGTTTGATTATGGGCTCGAGCATGTACGATGCGGGGAGATCGTGCCATCTGGCATTTCGGTCGCCGTGGTATTCGGGAAGGACGTAGTTGCGCTTGCGACCCTGTGCTACGGACAAGGCCTCGTCTGCCTTGTGTCGACAAGCTTTCAGACCCTCTGAGCTCAAGAGCTTGTTAACAGCCCAGTAGTTGACAATGGCTTTCAGCTTCACCTCTAGCTGCGATCCCTTCTCGGTGATACACGCCGCTGCGAGTTCGATCAAGTCAGGGACAAAATCTTGACACGCGTTGCCAAGAATACTCTGCTTTGTCGTGTCGCGACGATGGAACTTGTCAGCATGGAGGGCATCGTTGACGATCAACAAGAGATCCATCCGGTTGCGCGCTGCTTTCTTCGCTAGCGCTGGAGTGCTCTGATCTACTACGACAGACTTTGAGACAGCGATGAGATACGCGCCGAGGGTGGTGATCCGAGCCTTGGAGGGAGCTACGTGCTTCACAATCCATTCTGTGCATTTCTACGAGCGGCGAATTAGTCTGCTCCCGGTGACATGTGATCGCGGTCTTATAGTTAGATACCTGGATATTGATGGGCGAGTTCTGCTGAAGAACGGCATCAACGTGGTTGAAGAGCTGAGAGCTAATTTCGACTGCAATGGGCGCTGAACGATCTTCGGCATCGGAATCCTTCATTGCCTGCTTGAACTTCACCTGCGCAATCGTTAGACCTGACTTGCGCTTAGCATCATCATTTGGCGCCATGTTTGGCGACGTGAGGTTGCGACAATGAGTTCGTGGTGGGGAAGGAGGTCGGCATGGGTGTCGCGAGGGTGTTGATGTTTCCAAGCTTGCGAACGCGAACGACGCTAAGCTAGCGCGCCTTCCGCATCGTTCACCCCGCCATCGGCCAAGGCAATCACAGAAATGTCCGCCAACGACGCCATCCAAGATGAGGTCACCTCGCTCAACGCCATCTTCGACGAAGGCACCCTGTCAGCCTTAGATGAAGACCAACGACTATACAGTCTACGTCTGCCGTCGCTGCCATCCATAACTCTGCGTATAGAATTTCCGGCAGACTATCCGGATGCGCCGCCATCCGTGCTAGGCACTCAGAGTGTGGGACAAGATGTTCCCAAGGGTATGGGCAGCCAGGCTGTCGATGTAGTGAGAGAAGTTCTGGCAAGGATCTACCAGCCCGGCGAGGCATGTATCTACGATCTGCTCGAAGAGGCAAGAGAGGCTTTGGAGCAAGCGGAAGAGCAAGGAAACATCCAACTACACGATCAACACGAGGATGAGCACGTTGAAAAAGACGACGTATCGCATATGCCACCCGGCCCGGCAATCAACCTTGGGCCGGAGCCCCCTTGGATCGTAGCACCCGCCCTCACCGAGAAGAAGTCGGTTTTCTTAGCTCGCGCAGCACCTGTATCGTCACCAGCACAGGCTAGACAGTACGTCGCGCATCTCCTAGCGACAGACAGGAAGGCTGCTCGCGCAACTCATAACATGACTGCCTGGCGAATCAAAGGCCCCAACGATACAAGCTACCAAGACTGCGACGATGATGGTGAGACTGCTGCAGGATCGCGCATGCTGCACCTAATGCAGTTGATGGATGTTTGGAACGTCATGGTGGTTGTCACAAGATGGTATGGTGGTATACACTTAGGTCCTGATCGCTTTCGCATCATCAACACTACGGCTAGAGAGGCATTGGTCTTGGGTGGCTTCGCAAAAGAGGGCAAAGAAGGCGATACGAAGAAGAAGGGGAAGAAGTAGAAGGAACATACCATGAACTCATTGTGAGACGTCTATCTAGTCTTCACAACCTCATTTGTTCATCTTCGTCTTTCCGGTGCACTGGCATGCTCCCACAGCTTTCACCTGACCCAGCGCAATGTCAATACATAACGCTTCTAGAATCTACTCACATTAGAATCACCTCCCATTCACTCGGCCGCACAGACCTTGCGTACATAAAAGTCGCGCCTGACTCACGTCCCACACTCACCACATCACTGCGCGTTTCTCTCAGTCACAACCAATTAATCACTGAACCTCATAGAACGAAACCTTCGACACATACTATTCAGAATGAGTTATTCCGGTCGTGGAAATCATAGATCGAGCTCCGGCAATCGTGCGGGTCAGCATTTCAGCACACGAGGACATCGTCTCGGTGGTGGTGGTGGTGGTGGCGGCGGCGGCCATCCGCATCAAACTCGCAGTCAAGCTACAGCGTATGTTCCCCAACGCTCTCGTCAACCTTCTCACATTATGTTTATCGAGGAGGACGATGACGATGACGATGAATTCGATACTGATATCGGACACTCCAGTTCCCACGGGTATCACGATGCTATGCATGGTCTAGCCGACACCATGGCGGAACTGGACAGTATGCTCGGCTCTGGGCCACAAGGTGAAAGCATGCGAAGTGCCTTTGGTCCAGGGTTCCCTTTCAACAATGCGGGCGGTATTCCGGGGGTCGACGCCCTTCATATCGGTATGGGTGCTGCATTCGATAATGCGTTTGAGGGAGCTTTTAGCCATCCTATATTCTCTGGAAACGACGTCGCTCATGTGCCTAGAGCTAATAGACCTGGAAGCAGTTTCGGCGCGAACTTTCCATTTGGCCCTAGCAGCCAAACACCTATCCATGTGGGAGGCTTTGGACTAGGCGAACACCTTCCTTTCCATGCTCACCCCACTCCACCACGTCGAACTGGGTACGTTCCAGTCCCCACACGAGGCGGTTTCCCAGTCGAATTCGAGCCTCATCCCCTCCCAGAAGACTACCAACCCACTGAAAGCAGCGAGCAGCGTATCAACAACTTCATCGCACGCAATACCGAGCCTCTCACTGCCGCCAACACGACTAGCACGACAAACACAGACTGTCCAGTTTGCATGGAGAATGCTGCGGCTCATCCTTGTGTCAAGATACAGGGTATCGCCGGCTGCGAACACATGATCGGCCGAGACTGTCTCAAAGAGTTTCTGAAACAGCGACCGGATGACGAGAAGACATGTCCTCTTTGCCGAGCTGTCTGGCTTGCAGAAAACGGAGTCTGGCAGGACTCGGATCAGTGGAGTGAACGTATTGCTCAGGCGAACCTAGGACATCGTTTCGCGAGGTGGTAGAGATAACACCACATCGCAACAAGGTAGTTTTGAAAGACGAGGAGGCGAAGGCTGATGAGATCTGTGGGTATAGCTATTGTGCGTCATAACCATGAAGCGGGTCTATGGGTCGAGATGAAGTCGGACTGGTTCGTTGATTAGATAATTTGGAATAGCGTTCATTCTAGGAGATGAAAAAGGATTTGAGAGCTGGCAGGTTTGTGATAAGTTGCAAGGATGCAAGCCAGTAATTGTGTTTTATATTGATGTTATTTTGACAAAGCATTGATGATCGGCAAAAGCCGAGCACCGTGAAGTTCACGTGGGCGCTAGGTCTTCTATCCTTCTCATTTCACCCTCATGTGGTCTGCAGACCTGTTCAAATTCCCCTTGTATGAGGCTGTTCTATTCCGGTGGGCAAGATGGGTCGGTAACGAGCAACTGCTTAGTTGCCTTCCGAAGCTCAGCCTGAATCTCTGCGTCGAAGTAATTCCAGTTCGGAGGCACCGTGAAGTGACCCTTAGCCGTGTGGTCGCTTCCTCTCGTACTAGTGATTCTGACATATTGAGGGGGCCGGTCGTCTCGGTTAAGCATGGTGAGTTGCATGGATGTCTGGTCGTTCAGTAGCTTTTCGAGGTACTGCATCTGATCCCTGTAATCGTCTTGCCTGTGACCGCCGCCTGGTACAAAGTGGGTTCGCGAATGACAGATGTATGTATGTTGTAGGGCGCAAGATGCGAGTACATCATATCTGAACTGAAGGTAGGACACTATGCTCGAACTGCAGGTTACACCCATGGAGAACTGGGCATCGTCAAGTAGCGAGTCTGGGGCTGTAGCAGGGGTGATGTCGGTGGTATCAAGCTTGATTACCCATGAGAGATTGTCGCCAGCGGTCCGCGCGAAAGCGAACTCCGGGCGTGAGTCCAACGCCTCTCCATAGGGGTTGACCACCCACTCGCCAGTCTTGGCGATAAATCCTTCTTCGAAGTCGCGCTTTATTGCGGCAACCGCGGGTGAATATTCTGCTTGTGACATGGGTACCATTAGGTACGATCTTCGCTTGAGGATGCTCGTGGTGGGAAACAGGCAATAGGCCTTATTCCAAGAAATGAAGCATGCTCGAGAAGAGGTCATACAGCATTTGAAGAACACGTCGATGGGTGAATGGATACAGTGCCGAAGAGCGATGAAAGATTGGCTACCGTCATTAGGCGACGTCTTCGTGAAGAGAGAAGACTTCCAGTAGTTAGTGACATCTGTTAGAATAACGATACATAGTAACGCAGACTTACCCTTGAAGCACCAAACGTAACGCGATCATGAGCGAAGTCTTTGTCTCGAGCGTATCCATTTTTTTCGAGATAGCTAATGAGAGCATCTGCCTTCTTCCCGGCTTGCGTAAAGAGCTCAAGTTGAGTCTTGACCTGCAGACGGCGGAAGAACTTTCCGGCGAAATCGCTTCCAATTAAAGTCTCGGTCTGGGCCTGTACAGAGCGGAACGTCTGAGTGTTCTTGAAGAATAGCTGCAAGCTTGTGTTGATGTTCCACTGGGTCTTCTTCATGTTTGCGTACAGATCCGACGTCTTTCTGCAGGCTAACTGAACATTTCGTATATCATCAATATCTAGGTAAGATGTGATGAGTGAGTGCGTTATGTAGCGCGACTCTCGATTGATGACAAGATCCATGAGGTCTGGCACTGGATTAGGGGGTGGGCGCGGCAGAGACATGGATTGGACTGTTGGAGGCAAATTTTCTCCGAGTTCTACCACGCGCGCTTGAGCAGGCTCGTTCGAGGGCTGGTTGAGTTGAGCCATCGTGGTCGCGAATAAGTGTGGAATGCGGTTGGGTAGATCGATGCAGCCTTGAGAGAAGAGAACGAATGATATAAGTACTCAAGGCGTAGAAACCGATTAGGTGAAAGCCAGGATAGATAAAAGAAGGCAGTATACCGCGCGGGCCCGTCTTAGTGAAATAGACTCTGAGGTGGATGACGGTGCCCTAAGCTATCGTATCGAGTACGTGTAAGAAGAGTGGGGTTTTCTCTGCAAAAAGGTCCCCAGCCCAATCACTGAAGTCCTCGATTCGCAACTGGCACTTGAAACCTCTTTCTCCCCTTCCATGACCAGTCCACAGCAGCGCCTAATATGATCGCACCTAGAATCGGTCCCGCATAGTTCATGTTGAACCTGTCCACAGGGAGGATAGTGGGTAGTGGCATCCAGATAAAAGCAAAGGCGATGTAGCACAAAGATCCGGCGTTGATGTATGCGCCAGCGCCGCCCAGCTTGAATGGACCCCATGGAATCGGTAAAGGCCTCGCGCTTATCGTCCGACGCCAGAAAAGGAACAAGATGGGCAGAAAGTATGATAGGTACAAGCCCATTGCGGGAAGGGAGATAAGAGCGTTGAACGCGGTACTCGAAGCAATGTTGATAAGAGCCAGGATACAAACGCAGAGGCCGCTGAGACACAATGCATTAACCGGTACCCTCAGCTCAGGGTGGACCCTGGCAAAGGTACGCGAGAACGGTAACCCCTCGTCCTTGGAGAACGCCCAAATGAGACGAGAAACCGAGGCGAATATGTTGAAGAACGATACAAAGATTATGTAGACCAGCATGAACATGAACAAATTTGTGGCTGCTTTAGATCCCGTGGCCTGATAATAGACTTCGATGATTGGTAGAGGTGAAACGGAAGCGCGATTCACGTCTCCAATCGTAAAGAGAACGGTGATCATATAAAGAAGTTGCATGAGACCGTTCATTGCGACCGAGAATATGATAGAGCGCGGCACCCGGGTGTGTGCTTGCTTGACTTCGTCGGACATGTGGATGACGCTATCGAAACCTGAACTCATCAGTACAGCTGCATCGAGCCAGAAATCTATCGAGACTGACCAGCCAGCGGGTACACAGCAGTGATCAGCCCTATATCCCAGGCCACCGTGGGGTTTCTCCAACCACTAATGTCGTGGGTCAAGGTCTGAAACACATATTCCGTGGAACTCTTTTCTGCCATTACAGCCAAGGTAATGATACCAGCAAAGAAAAAGGCGACATGACATATTGCTCCCGCTGTCTCGAGCACGTTGATGATTCTAGGAAGCCAAAGGTTTCCAATGAACGGAACTATTGTCGAAGCGCACATGATGAGTGTTGTGTGCCACCGCTGAACCACGTACTCTGGGTTATTGAAGGTGGCCATGGCAGTGACGATATTCGATATAAGCGCTGCATTCGAAGTGCAGCAACATATCCAAGCGAATATGGTGATCCAGCCTTGCATCAAACCGAAGAAGCGATTCCATATTGGCGCGAAGGCGGCAGACCACCGGTATTGAGCACCAACTGTAGGATCCATAGAAGACATCTCGGCAAGCGATAAGGCTACTAGCATGGTTCCTGCCCATGCGAATATGCTTCCATAGACAATGGACGCTGGGCCGCCATTGCTCAGTGCGAACTGAAAAGTGAGCGCAGATGCTTCCCATGAACATTGCATGAGGAAGGAAAAGTTCACAGAAGACGAGGCATTGATGTATCGCTGCAGACCATTAGCGAGAGCGTAAGTTCGAGCTGTGTTCATACATCTAATGCTCCTCCCCCAGAATCCTGCGTGCCATTAGCTCTCTGCTCCGCAATTGCTTGTTCCGCAATGTTCTTCTCGGCGCTCATTATGTCGCATCTCAGGCCGATCGGGGTTTTTGCTGTCGCCTCTGTCGTCTTCGTCATCGATAATCAGGTGTTTCGTGATCCAGAAAGTTACATTCCAAGAATGGGGCTTATGTTCCTCTTATCAGTACCAGCAGCCTTGCAAGATTAGTAACCCAAACCTCGAGCTGCATACATGACCGATGAAAATACGTTGTACAACGTCAAAGCACGCATGTTTATTCGGCCGTCTTGTGTGGCGGGCCTAGGAGTGGCATCCAGTACTAGCAGCATGCGTGTCATCATGCACCGCGAGCTATCCAGTAGAAGCTGCTGAAATGCTCAACCGGCCAATCTGGAGCAGAATTAGAGTATGCCACCACGCGTTGCCAATGCGTCTGTTCGGAATCTTATTTCGTGATAGGTCTACTACCCCCTTCACGGGTACCGGCCCGGGCCTGCTGGAGTAACACGCAGAACGTCCACTGCGGAGTTGTAGTCTTGTGAACGATGTCAGAAGATGGCGCCCAGCACCCCCTATGAAGATGTAGCGCTTCGTGAAGAGCGAATCTCCTTGCAGGATGGCGGCTGTGGTGAAAACCCGATTGCGGCAGCGTATGACGTCATCACTAGACTTGGTCGGCTCGACGATGGACGATGGAAAAGCGAGGTTCTCAAGAGCTATACGGTATACCATTCTGTGCGATACGAGACATCGCCAGTGCTAGCAAGGGAAAAGACGAAGGTGGTGCAGATGGTGCAAATTACAATGTGATTGAGCCGCCCCTTCTTTGAGCGCCTGAGCTAGCGTTTTAGCGTGAGCGGCTCCCCCGAAGCCTTCAGCCTTCGTAGTCGCAGCCCGCACTCTTCGCCATCACAATATCATCAAACGACGCGCATCCGCCATGCATCAAACCGCCGAGGCATTCCGGCTGATTGCACCACTCCCTCGAATTTGATCGAGCTCGGAAACCCTTCCAGATCCAGGCATTTCATGCAATTGACTCTCCGCACTCGCCAGTTGTGCAGTCTCGCCGCCCTCCTTCTCATATCGATAAATCTCTTTTGATGGCTGCCCTTCAGTCGCGACATAGGGCGTAGGGGCATCACGCGCCTTCTTGCGCCAGCGCAGCGCCTTAGCGATGAAGACACCCAGTCCGATCAAGGCGATGGCGCCCAGTGTAGCCCCAATGCCGATACCAGCTTTTGCACCTGTAGAGAGCTCACTGTCACCAGTGGTTATTGGCGTACCCGACGGAGAAGATGATACCGTGGACGACACGATCGAAGATGCGGTCGAAGAAGAGACTAATGAAGACGTTACGGTGGGTATGGGGTCGCCAAATCGCGCTGCAATGGTGTATCGCGGAAGCGTACTTCCGTCAGTGCAGCATCGATTGGAATCCCCGCAACACCAGGTTAACGAATCAGAAGCACCAGTGCAAGGCGTGACCTTTTCATCTCTGCTTCTTTGTAAAGAATCCTAATCGTTGTCAGTTTTAGTGGCCCACAAAGACGTCACACCAACTGTACCTCGTTCGAGCAGAGCTCCTGGCATCCTCCTTGCTCCCAATTGCTTTGCGTACAAGACTCTCGCCAGATCTTATGTTCAGCCTTATTTTCGCACAGTCCGTTTGGTAGCAGGTTATCCCAACCAGCGCAGCAGATATTGCTTAGTGGATCCGAGGTATCATTGATTTGGGGCGAGTACACGCTGTTTGTGTTTTGTGTGCCGTTGCGCCAGTAGCAGGCTGACATCGCAGGCTGCAAGCAAGCGAGCCGCAATAGGAAAATGAAGCAGAAGTTTATACGCGACATCACGGAATGGTGGACTAAATGAAGAGCTGGACAATCGAGGAGACGCGACTCGGGCTGGTTTTAGTATTCAGCAACACACTCCTTTCCAGCACTCAGCTTATGACCGCTCACGAGGCGCTTGGGGCCAACACAACACCCATTAGTCGCAACTACAATCTGCGCGATGAAGCCCATTGGAAACAGAGCTTGGGAAATAAGCGAGGTACACCATCCCGCTCAGCCTTGTGGTACTCAAAGTTGACACCGGTTGGTTAATGTGGTAGCAGTAATCTCGGTCACACGTAAGCCTTCGCCCCAACGAATTTGTTCGCCTGTTCTTGGCGTGTATGACATTCTAGTGGTAGCTGATGCACAACTTACACTGCACTTGACGCGTTGCGCTGCCTATATGCCTATTTGTGTCTTGCAATCTCAGGTTCCACTTCAGCCATCGACCCGGCTTTCGCATCAACTTCGTTTTATTATCGCGAACATGACTGCTCGGATCACAAACCATATCGCCTGCTCGAAAGTCCCTAAGAAGGAGGATTTATATGTACTCGAGATTGTTAATATATACAATGAAGTTGCTACACGTCGTCCAAATCCGTCCGTCAGCACCGCGAGATGCTCCTAATGGGGAAACAGGGAAGCACCTATGTGCAGATCTTCCTCGCCCCGTTTCCGGTGAGGCTCCATTTGGTCTTATTGACAGTGCACGGGTTCTCCGTCACACTGGTTCCATCAACCTTCAGCGCAATGGCAATGTCCCTGCTGTTCGCAAACTCGGTCCTGGCCGCGAGACGAACCTCACCACCACCACTAACAGTACCAGCCTTGATGTTGACATTATAGCAGTTCTCAAGCAAAATCGCGTTGTTGCCCGTGTTGGCGACATCGATCGTACCGATCTCCGCACCTCCAGACGCAGAGACACAGAAGATGCCGCGGCCGCCACCGCGAGCCTTGACGCGGTTGACGTAGATGTTTGTTCCGTATCCGCCGTTGACCTTTCCGGCTTCGTTGGCGAAACGGAGAGCCGCGTAGCCAGTGCCAGCGCCGCAGTTGTCGCAGTCCACGGTGCCGACCTTCGCGTTGGTGACCTTTTGGAGGAGAAGACCGCATTCTCCGACATTTTTGCCGACGACCGAGCCGATGTCGAGCTTGTCGATGTTCCTGAACATATGAAGTCAGCGTATGTCTTGCATGCAGTTTGTGCAGTCATATTCTTACCATGTCTCAACGCAGTGCGACGTGCCGCCGTTGCAGGTGATGGT